AAGAACACAGTCCCCTAAAGTACCCCCAAACTGTGGGGCTCAGTCTTCATGTGCTGCCATGACCGCTCTCCTTCCACTTGTGGCTGCTGACTCTGAGCCAGGGTGGCAGAGCATCTAATGATGAGGGGATAGACCACAGGACATCTGGGGGAAGTGCAAACCTCTTGTTTTATAGAGCCCTCATCTCCTCAAGTTTCAAGATGAAATTCAGTTCAGTCCCAAATCAGAGACCCAGCAAGAATGGCTGCTGAGTCTTCCCCGCTTCTGCCTGCCACCCACCTCAGCCTCCAGGGGGCAGCAACTTGCTTCTCAGGGCTAACTCCTCTTCAACCTCAGAAAGCAGCCTACACATTGTTTCCTCCAAATTTCTGCTCACCCAATGTCCACACACACACACACATGACCTGAGCAAGCTGCTCCCCCAGTGGGCCCCCACAGGGCTAGCTCTTACTTGTCAATGCAGAGTACTGGAGCTTAGACTGCTAGGTGCCTGCTTACGTGTACAGGGTCCCCCCACTGCTGCTTCTCTCCCTGTATTCCCCAGCCCTAGAGCAGGAGCCAGCACGCAGCAGTTGCGACTTAGACCACTCCAAGGTCCAAGGCACACAGCAAGAGGGTATTCATGTCCACGTTGACAACATTTGCTGCGATCCCAATAACAACTTGGGGCATAATGATGCCCTAAAATTCCCAAACAAATAGGAAAATATTAGGAATTTCAAAAGCTAGTTAGGTAGGTTGCCAAGTGAAACTCAAGGTTAAGCAGGTAACAGTGTCAAATGATGATAAAGCCACACAAGACTGGAACAGCCAGAAATGGCAGCAACCAAATGTATTCCCTCTTTTGATGCAGCTTCTCACCAACTCAACCAGAAACCTGCAGAGGCTGCTGAATTCCTGTCCAGTCGCAGGCTCATCCCAGCAGCAGAAAGGGGCAAGAGGGAGCAGTTATGGAAAGAGCACACAGGCACAGGCGCCCTGGCTTTGAGAGTGCTGGGGCTGGCAGCTGACCGCCCCACTGTGCTGTGGTGAGGGTTTTCTCCCATGCACATGCCCAGCAATGCCTGTAGACCAGGCTGGCCTGGAATTTACAGCAATCCATCAGCCTACCTGTGCCTCTCTAGAGCTGGGATTAAAGGCGAATGCCACTCTGAGGCATCGCTCCTTCCTTTTGTTTCTGCTGTCTACACTACACTAGTGCTTCAGGTTAAACTTTTCTCCAGCATTCCAGTTGACAGCTCTCAAAGCACAGCAAATTCATTCTGACTTAGGGAGCAGATCTTTATGTTTAAAGGCTAGCATGCTGCTTGCTCATAGGTGGCCTGGAAGGGGACACTGGGGTGGGGCCCAGCCTCTGCCCACCCACTTCTGGCCTTCAGCCTTCTTCCATTTCTCTTCTGCCTTTGGTGCACTGAGGGCACAGTGGGCTGCCCACACTTCCACATATGGTGGTAGTAACTCCAGGCCCCCTCCCCAGAAACAGGGCCAAGCCCAGGTCAGATGCAAAGCCAGCAGCCAGCCCTAAGAAGAGGTAAGGGCAGGGTGTGAGGGCTGCAGAGAAGAATGAGGAAGAGAGGGATTAGACAGATGAATCCATCGGGCAGCTAACTCTCCTGAGCTGGACTACACCCACCCACAAGGCCTCACATCTACAAAGTGCTTGAGGGTCACAGAAATGAATTACAGAGAAATAGAGTATGAATTACTTTCATAGAAAATTCCTTTAAAATATTTACTTTGCATTTCCAGTAACAGTGTACAGTAAAACTATTTTTAAACATACCTGACTCTGTAAATATCTTGTCTGCAGCTGGAATACGAAAGCTGCCTATAAATTAAACAGAAAAACACCAAGAGTTTGTTTTGGTTCTCATTTTTGTTGCTATTTTTGCAGTTTGTAACTCAAACCCAATTTGCACATGCTAAGCAAGTGCTCCAGAACACAGTTCAATTTTTTATGCTAATTTTATAAAATAGTGGTTTCTTTATGACATCTTCTTCTATGTCAAGTTCTGAGATTTTATTAAATTTTTTGATCAGCATACAAAGAAATGGGTTTCACTGTGATATTTTCAACACATGTATTGTTACATTTTATTCTTATTCCCCCATCACTGCTCCCCCCGCCCTTCTCCAGTTGTCCCCTTCCTCCCCCTATAGCTTTCCACTCTGCTTTCATGACAGTATCCCATCACCCCCTCTTGCTCCTCCTTTCTCTCCCTTAGCACCTCTGTCTCTGCTCTCAGAGCTGCCTTTTAACTTTCATGTCATATATATTTTTAAAAATTATGTGTATGTGTTTGTGTCTGTGTGTGGTTATGTGCACATGAATGCAGGTGCCTGTGGAGGCCAGAAGAGAGTGCAAGATTCCCTAGAGCTAGAGTTACCCAATATGAGTGCTAGTAACTTAACTTGGGTCCTCTAAGAAGAGCAGCAAGCATTTTTAACTGCTGAGTCATCTCTCCTCACATACACACACACACACACACACACACACACACACACACACAGTATTCTGGATCAGGGGTAAAGAAAGGTCATAAGGGAGAAATCAGGAACATACTTTAAGATTAACACTACGTGTTTAGGTTAGCTTATAAAAGTTGATTTCATGGGACCCTAGAGACTGAATGGGACTCTGCAAGCAGGAAAGTAATCAGCAAATTTGATGCTCAACCTCAGAACTGAACCACAGAACCATGGACCAAAATAAAACTCATTTGTTTATTGAATTACCCAGGTTCAAGTAATACAAACATTAATGTATCTATCCACGGTATAATTAGTGTTTTTTCAGCTACTTTCCCTTCTGGTGAGTTAGGTGATCCTTCATATATCCTTCTGCTTCTCCTCTGTTCTGTGGGTATACATCTGTGATGTATCCAATCATAGATGAACAGGCACTCAACTAATTAAGGAAGACATATACCTAAGATTTCCTGAAGATTTACTTTGGTTAGCAGATTTGGCAACTTCTACTAATTGTGAGACCTTGTGCCCCTCCAAGGAGCACAGTAAGACAATGTCACGAAAGCAGCAGCATCTGAGTACCAACACAGGGAACGGTGCCCTGAAACTCTGAGACACACAGAGGGGGAGACAAACTTAAGACACATCTCTGGTAGAATAACAAGGCTTGCCCAAAGCTTAAATTTTTGAAAACTGTTTTTAAGTAGCTCATCTGGAATCGCTCCCAAATCTGGAAACTTCGTGAACAGAATGCTCCCTTCATAGTCTATACAATGTTAGTGACTCCATCTTTCCCAAACCTATTTTATTCCCATTGTGTTTGAGTTGAAAATCTTCACTGAATCTAAATCCCTGCCTTGGCATCCCCTCCTGAGGCAGGGTTTCTACCTCTTTGTTTTACAGCCTGGCTAACTCTAACTGTACTGGGAATGAACTTCTCAGACCTCAAGTCTCAAGCATAACCAGAGTGACAGGTAGGACAAGTCTGAGAACAATAAATACATTGCATCCTGTGGTCAGAAAAGAAAATACTGATATACTAACTTTGGAAATTGTCAGAAAAGGGAGACTATCATACTCAGTATAATGCTGTGTCTTCCAAGTCATTTAAAAAATTTGCCATCAGGCTTCTGATCAACAGAAGGAAAATGAGGCATTCACCAGAAGGGGCCCTTATCAATCCTCAACTAGAATTATTATTGCCTTATTGTGATGGCACCAAATTATAACCAGACGCTAGGTATGTACCTTTTTTCTTCCCTTTCGAATGGGCAGCTTTAGAGCCCATTACCGAGTGTGGGGTTTTGAGAAATTGATCCTAACTTAAAGCTTTAATTAATTGCCCCACATCAGGCTACCAATAGATTAACGCTTCTGTTCTGGGCACCACTACTTTTATAAAAAATAAAAATAAAAAGCTGGAAATGTGAAGAAATGAGAGAGAATAAATGCACTCACATTTAAAATGGAAAGGAGAGGACAGGAACCTTTCCAAACACCACAGGGGAAAAGAACTCAGCATCTCTCCCATTTAAAGCATGCCCACCATATCCCCTGACCATTGCTGAGCTGTGTTTACATTTTAGCTTTTACTGAGCCTTACAACAAATCAATTTGGGATAAAGATACAGCCAAGGTTTCATATGATCACTACAGCCTTGATAATTATTTTTCTTCACTGCTGACTAGATTTACCAGAAGGGCAGACAGGGGGGAATGGATGAGGGTGCTGACAACACAGTGGACAGTGACAGGGATGGCAGAGTATGGAGCCTCTAGTGGGAGAGGAAGGCTGTCTATCTGACGAGTTTGTATTCATGCTCAGATGCCGAGGAGCTCAGAAGGTGGGCGACTGTGACCAGTGATAGTCATGTATATAGAGATTAGAAAAGCATGTGAAAACATCTCAATGTCAATTGCTTTGGAATAAATTCTTCTGTATGAAAAAAAAAAAAAAGTTGTGCTGTAAAGTATTCCTTGAGAAATGTTTATAATTCTATGAGAATGTAAATAGTTTCACAGTAATTGTTTTTCAGTTAGAATATTCTAACTTAATTGCAGCGCAGTCTCTTTAATTTCTTGTTCATTAATTTTTAACTAACTTCATAAAAGAATAAGAATAAAAAAAATGTGATTTATTTTAGAAAAAGTTACCTGGACTGCTGAAAAGAATGTATATTCCACAGCTGTTGGATGAAATATGCTATAAACATTTATTAAATCTAAAAAAAACAAAACAAACAAAAAAACATTTATTTTTCCAAGTCTAGCTTACATAACACAATGATCTCCAGTTCTGTTCATTTTCCTGAAAATATCATTTTAATTTTCTTTTATTTTACATTTCTTTATTGTGTGTGCATGTACCACAGTGCACATGTGAAGCTCAGAGGGAAACGTGGGAGTCAGTTCTCTCCTCCTACCATGTGAGTCTCTGGGAATTGAACTCAGGTCAGGCTTTGCAGCAAGTGCCTTTACCCACTGAGTCGTTTTGCTGGTCCCATAATTTCATTTTTCTTTACAGCTAAATTAAATTCCATTATGTATATGTACATTTTCTTTATTCATCTGTTGATGGACATCTAGGCTATTTACATATCTTGGCAACATGGATACACAAGTGTCTCTGAGGCATGCCACTGTCCTTTGGATGTGTAGTCAGAAGGGCTATAGTGGGATCATATGGTAGATCTATTTTTATCTTTTTGAGGCCCTCTATACAGAGTGACTGCACCAGCTTACCCTTGTGCTGGCAGTGTGTAATGGTTCCTCTCTCCCCACATCCTTACCAGCATTTGTTGATGTTGGTCTTCTTGATGATGGTTAGTCTCACTGGGTCACATGGAATCTCAAAGCAGTCTTCATTTGTATTTCTCTGATGGCTAAAGACATTGAACATTTATTGGCCATTTTTATTTCTTCCTTTGAGAACTGTCTATTCAATCCATTTACTGATTGGATGATTTGGTTTGTGGTTGGGAGAATATTTAAATTTTGGAGTTTCTTCTATATCCTAGATCTTAACCCTTTGCTGGATGTGTAATTGGCAAAGATTAGCTCCCATTCTGGAGGCTGTCTCTGATGAGTGTTTCCTTTGCTGCACAGAAGCTTTTTAATTTCGTGTAATCCCATTTGTCAAGTTTGGGGATTATTTCCTGTGCTAGTGTTATCCTTTGCAGAAAGTCTTTGTTGTGCCTATCTTGGGGTCTTTTCCTTTGGCTACCTCTGGCAGTTTCAGAGTTTCAGGTTATACATTAAGGTCTTTGATGCATTTTGAACTGACTTCTGTGCACGGTGAGAGGTAGGGGGTCTGCTTTCATTCTTCTAGAGGTGAAAATCCAGTTTTCTCAGCATCATCGTTGAAGATACCTTTTCTCCAGAGTGTACTTTGACGCACGTTGGGACTGGGTGGCTGGTGGGGTATTTCTAGGTCCACTGCTCTACTTTGTTCTGGGTTTTAAGATACTTCCTTTATGATTATATGACATCAAAATCCAGAAAACCTGACTCATTTTAAACAAATGCTAGTATGATAATATTTAGATTTTTCCACAGTGGTTCAAAGCTTTACTTTTTTTTTTTTTTTTTTTTTTGGTCTTTTTGAGACAGGGTCTCCCTATAGCCCTAGCTGACCTGGATTCGCTATGGAGACCAGGCCGGCCTTGAACTCACAGAGATCTGCCTGCCTCTGCCTCCCAAATGCTGGGATTAAAGGCGTGCGCCACCACGCCTGGCCAAAGCTTTACTTTTTGAAGAGCTGACAAGGACAAATTCTAAGTGGGTGAAGCAAGAGCCCAGGTTTGAACTGGCCAAAGGGCAGGAAACAGCCTGTTGATGTCAATAAAAAGTAACAGAAGAACTCCTGGACAGGGTGGCACTGACTATAATCCTTCAATCCTCTGTGGCCACTGCACAACACAGGTGCACCTACCTACATGCAGGCAATACACTCGTAAACATTATATATATATATATATATATATATATGTATACACATATATGATAATTTTGCTTGTATGTATGTAAGTGCACCTGTGTTGTGCAAT